GGAGAGCGTAATTTTGGTGTGCGCTTGGTCCGCGAGGTCAAGGTGACGCGTCAGCATGAGTTAATTAAGTGATAGTGCAAAGACCACAAACGTCTATGGTTGGCGGCATCCGGTTTCGGATTTGCCTGTCACTGTGGCCAGCCACAGAATGCCTGCGCCCAGAGAGGGACCATGTGTGGCTTGTGCTGCACTATCCACAGCTCCATCCACACACCCCATATTCAGTGTAAACCCGGAGGAATATGCCCGGGAGGCAAGCGAATGGGAGGCACGTTTCATCAACGGATCCGGCCCACACTCCTTCACAGGCAAACACAAACACACTGTATTTGGGAAACCAAGTGCACACAAGGCACTGCCTGGACCGTAGTCCGCTCGACACTGAGTGCATGGAACCGCTCTTTGAGGCTAGCTCGTCCACAAAGACCGTGCACCCCGCCCCTTCCAGCAACGACCAACTGTCTCCTGGAGCCAGTATGAACGAGGTAGTGGGTAATAGACAGGTAGGCACCTTGTCAACATGCACATCAAGCGCAGCCACACCGGGGATATCAAATAACAGCCGGTTACTTAAAATGACAATGTCAAATAAAATAAGTCAAATAATACATACGGATATGATGATATAATCATTCACTAAATAAGTGTATAAAATTAATTGGTTGCGAACCAATCCGCGCTAAGTTCACTAAGTCAGGAAACTTATCTTAAGAAAATGCCGCGAAACTGTTACTGAAGTTATTGAAGTTGAGCGACGTGTGCAAGTTTATGGAAGATAGTTTAGGTAAAAATGATAGAGGATAATGAAGCACTAGGACAATATAGCAAACCCACCAAATGAAATAAAGAGACTCAGCATGCAAGCACACGGTTAGTTAATCGGATGCAGCGTACCTGTAAACGCTGCGCCGGTTCTGCCTACGTTTTCAGCAGGACTAGTCGTCGTTGCGCTGGTGACCCCGAGTGGCCTCGCTCATGGCTCACTATGCCTGCCTGACTCAAGCAATCGCTACCGCACGTGCTACCGCACCATGCGCTCGATGTTGACGGAGTGAGAACCATCGGCGCTTGCCGTTTCCGTAATTACCGCTTCATCTCTGCATGCATGAGGGAGTTCTCATGAATCTCGGCGACGGTCTTCGTGATCCGATCGCGCCACGCACGCCGATCAGCCGCCTTCGCCGCCCATGATCTATAAGCAAGATTAGAAAGTGAGAGGCTCACTCTGATCATGTCCTGGTAACGAAGCTTCGGTTTCCCCACATCCCACTTCCCCAAACTCACTTGACCATATACTAGCTGCTTCGGTATCCGCAGCGAATTCATACTCCACAAATGACCGAGCCACCTCAGGTGTCTCAGCAAAAGTATACAGTCCACTGCATACATTGCACTTCGACGCAATACTTCCGCGTCCGCAACTCTGTCTCCCCAGCCGATGCGCGGAATGCTTCGCAAACACTGTTGATGACAAACTCTTATACTGGCATATTAATGGTCATTGTAAGATGCAACGCGGAATTCCAGCACTGATCACGACTGACGGGTGCACGCGATCAAAGATGGAAGCAGTCGATTTCGTACGGTTCTATTACTCACATCTGTCCCTGAGAGTAACTGGCCCAACAGTTATCCCAGCTTCTACCATCCCACAGTCAGCTTTATACAATATCACATTTACTGCAGAAACTGTTGTCTCTGCTTATTCACAGTTCAACTGGTTTCGATACCGTTCCACCGAAGGCTCTACAGGCAGCATCTAGTGGGTTGGCAGAAGCTCTGGTTACATTCTATTAGCGCTGTATAGAAGCGAACCAACCTTCAGCAATATGGAAGTGTGGGGTCGTCACCCCCATTCATAAGGGACAAAATCGTACTGACACTACCAATTATCGTCCTGTAACGCTACTCATTGTGATTTTCAAGGTTATGGAGTCTATCATCGCGGAGGCACTCATGCAACAGCTGGAAAATTACATCATATTAGCACAACGACAAAATAGCCTCCGGTAAAACCGTTTATGCACTACCAACCTGCTAATTGCAAGCAATAGCGGAACTTAAGCGGTTGAAGGTGCAGCAGGTGTCGGTCATTTACCTGGACTTCGCAAAAGTGTTTGATGGCTCAGACCACTGAATTCTACGCCCTACACTTCAGCTCTATGGTATTGATGAGTCACTGTTGCGTTGGATAGGCAATTTCCTGCACGCACGTCGGTTAGAGGTGAGAGTACGAGAATCACTATCCCACGCATTTGAGGTAGAGTGCAGTGTACCACAAGGCTCGGTGCTAGGGCCCCCGTCTATTCTTGCTTTTCAGAAACGATCCGCTCAGGAAACTTACTTCGATTTCCTATTCCTCTCGGATGGTCTCAAGTTATGATGAGGGATCAGGGGATCGAACAACCGCAAAAAGCTCCAGCGTGACCTCAAGACTATTTCGAACTGGTCAGTTCAGCATGCACCACCGTTCAATGTGGAAAATTATTGTGCCTTACAATTGTGCCATAGGCATGACTACGTCTACAGACTTGGGTCACACGTATTGCAAACCACTTCCCAGGGACGCGATCTTGGTGTGTTCATCCAAAGTGACCTTTACTATTCAACGCAAACAGTGCAGCTGCGAAAAGAGCTAATCAGCACGTCCGCTTGCTGCGGAGACCATTCGGAAGTTTCAACCCAGTAAACTTCCCCATGATGCTCAACGCAGCAGCAGCAGCAGCAGCAGCAGCAGCAGCAGCAGCAGCAGCAGCAGCAGCAGCAGCAGCAGCAGCAGCAGCAGCAGCAGCAGCAGCAGCAGCAGCAGCAGCAGCAGCAGCAGCAGCAGCAGCAGCATCCTTACGCGTTAGCTGAGGGTGAGAATCACGCCACAAATTCTGTACTGCAGTACTAAAAATAAGGTGCTAAAATTACAATAAGAAAAGTTCCAGAGCAAGTATTATGGTGATACTTATGTTATTATGCGTTTCGCGTGGGATCAGAATTGGATAGGGAAACTGACGAGGTGGGGATGGACGCAGAAACTCACAGTGCAAACATTACTGGGGCCAACTGTTCGCCATGGCAGTAAGTGTGTCTAACCAAACGTGTTCATCGTACTTAGTACCCCAGCCAGGCAGTCAGGATGAACCAACCAACGCCAACAAGGAAGTTAAAGTTTTCATTGCTCTCGATCAAGTCATCGCTTGGTCTCCCCTCCTCCTCTGCCAACCGCACTCCTGATGTGCAAACCATGCGTGTCATAGGAGTCGGCGTACCGGCACTCGCAATCCGTGGCGCAGTCATCGGAACCTGGTGCGTGATATACTAGTGCTGAGGGGTTCAATAACTCTTCCTGCATCAAATACGCGACTCCGAACACGCTCATTGCTCACGCGGTGTACCCACCAGACATGAACTAAGCTGTGAAGGCAGCGACTATCGAACGTGGCCAGGTTCTTTATATTTGTCTACCTGATAGGCCAGGTTTCACAACCGCATTAGAGGGTTGGACGGACGGCTGCATTGTACACTCTACGCTTCAGGGCGAGAGTGATGTTGCGTCTGCGCCACAGGTGGTGAAGATTGTCAAAAACATCTCCGAGATATTTGAATTTCTCAACGACTTCAAGCTGCTCCCCATCAAATGTCGACACAAGGGTGGGTCGCTGCCAAGCTTGGAGAAAGACTTAGCATTCAGATGGCGCAAAGCATGGCCCAAAACGATTGACAGCCAGTGCTAATCTATCCAGTGGGGCTTGGCACCTTTGACAGGTCACAGATATGGGTAATATCGTCCCCATACTCCAAGTCAAGAAGTCGCACATCAGTAATTACCTCCGCATCTTCCAGTACTTTTCCGTCCAACACCTACTCCATGAACTCGTCAGTGGCGAAGTTGAAGAGGAAATTGGACAGCGGGCAACCTTGCCTCACACCGCTGGATATATTGAAGCGTGGCGACAGTTTGCCATACACCCACACGCTGCTCGAACTATGCGCGTACAGCTCTCTGATAATGTTTACGTATTTATTGGGCACACCTTTCCTCAGCAGACAGTCCCACAGGGCACATCGACCAACCGATTCGAAGGCACTTTGATGTCAAGAAACACCGCTACGGTGGGTCGCCAATAAACATGGCGGTGCTCCAAAAGTTGCTCAAAGTGAATATGTGGTCGTTATCCGGCATGAATCAGTGTTCATTATATTTTACATAGCTTCACTTACTTTGTACCATCCCATGAGGAACAAGACGGAACAAATGCCGACCAAAGGGACGTAGAGATCTCTGGAACCGACATGCTTGTTGTCAGAACTTGTGATCTGATCGGCGAATACTTGGCATAAGAAATAACTATACACTGCGATTGTAACAACCTGAAAGAGAAGAGACACTGGGAGTTTGACGGAGGAGGAGGAGAAATTAGGATAATCGGGGTCGTGAGCACAGATGTCCTCATTCCCTTGTTGTTATCATGTCTACGACTACTAAGTATCACCTTGCATTATCACGTTTGTAGTTGGATAAAGCATTGCCGGACGCGAGTTTCAAAAAGGTAACGTGTGGTACTGACTACCAGGCAATAAACAGCACTCCTCCATACTTATTTGTCTATGTGCTGAACCAGATTCTTATTATCCTGAAGTGTTTCCGCTTTCCTAAATACTGCCAGTAAGATATCACGCTGATTACCAAGTTGCAGCATGATTTCTTGTAATCAGGATGTCGGCACATGCAGAGTACGTATGCGACAGGCCCAAAGAACTTACTTGTGAATAGCCTAGAGGAATGATGATACTGCTGAACAGCTGCAGAAACTGCATTTTGCCACGAAGATCCATCAAATCCTGGGAGAAAAGGAAATCGAAAAGAGATTAAACTGCTACGCAGCTTTGATAAACTGTCAATCCAAAACGTATACTCACTTTAATGCACTTACGGCAGTCTGTCAACGGAAAAATTAACCCAACTAATTAGTATCAAAGTCCTACAGAATAGACCGTAAGAGTATACAACTGTCCTCAAATCTCATAAGCCTTCTGAGGACCAATTGGGCTGCCATGTTCTAATAGCCGGCAATGCACAGAGAAACAACATATCACAAGTCCGGTAGGTAAAATAGCACAGGTCTACCTTATCCTGTAGGTTGATACTGAAAAGGAAACGCAAGTAAAAAGCCCACACGAGTATACAAAGTAAATTACGTATCGGCGAAGCGATAGGGCAGCGGCACATTAGAAGCAGGGTTGCGGAAATAAGATAGCACTACGTAAAATGGCTTGCCGAACAACCTCCTCGTGGTGCCAGCTGGGTGGTTCGGGTTTTTCCCGTTCCAGCGAATGGTTCGGCGGCAGTGTTCCAGGACGTGGTGGGTTTTCGCCTGGCAAGCGTTCTCCCTATAAAAAGCGACATATGTCCGTTTAACAACACTGCGACGTGGCGGATGTGACTCGCCACTAAATAAAGTCACTGCCCCTTGCCCCTCCCTGAGAGGCATTGTACTTTAAGGGTGAGTTGGGCCCCTGGTCCTTCACGGACCGAAAGGCGTATGAACCATCTACTTGGTCACCGGCTCCCAACGGGTTGCGACGCCCTCACATCGCCCTGCTGCCTTGTAGGTTAGATCTTTGATCAAAGGCTCGTGGGAGGGCCCCCTAAGACAACCCTCTACTTCGGCCTGGGCAACCGGGTAGTATCACGCCCGCTGACGAATCATGGACTCCACCGCTCACTACTACTACTTGCCATGCCGCTCTTCTGTCTTAACTCAACCGCTCAACGTCCACTCACAGACCACCCCACCTCCCGTCCTTCATCTACATGTACTCTTATGTCTTCTACGGTCACCGTCACAAACGACCCACGTCTCGCAGCTGATGGAAGTAACAGCCAAACTCCCGGTTCTCCATGTCCTGCGATCGCAACCGCCTCTCACTCCACCGAAGCTCCAGCTCTTCTCCGACCTGGTTCTCCATTCATCCTCGCAGCGTTTAATGTTCGAACTTTGATGCAGATCGGACGACAAGCATGTCTGGCCCGTACTCTTGAAACGCTATCGGTAGACATCTGTTGTCTTTCAGAGACCAGATTACAAGACTCTAGCGCCGTCATCAGAATGGCCTCTCCGGTAAACTCTGACGCCAAATACTACTTGCGGCTTTCCAGAGACCCAGAATCTGCCGCCACTGGTCAAGCTGGTGTTGGGGTTGTATTAAGTGCCAGGGCTGAATCAGCTCTGCTTGACTGGATCCCAGTCAACAGCCGACTATGTGCAGTCAGACTAAGAGGTTCATGTAACGTAAGCAGGCGTCGAGATGTTAAGCGTGCCTTATTTGTCGTCTCCGCCTACGCCCCTACAGACTGCAGCCCGGATGCAGTTAAAGATAGCTTCTACCAACAACTACATGAACTTCTGCGTTCCTCCAAACGGACGGATATAGTCATTCTTGCCGGGGACTTTAACGCACGGGTTGGCCGCCTTCTACCAAGCGAGCACCACATTGGGGGTAGTTTTGGTCTCGGTGGCAGTCGATCAGACAATGGAGACAGATTACTTGCTCTTTGCTCTGATCATCGCTTGTTTCTTTCGAGCACTAGTTTTCGACACTCGAGGAGACAGACTGCTACCTGGCGCCCGCCCTCACAAACGCAAGAGTGCTCCCAGCTTGACCACATAGCAATCAGCTACAGATGGCGCGGAAGCGTAATGGACTGCCGATCGTACTGGTCAACTTTTCTGGACTCTGATCACGCATTGGTTCGTGCTAAGATTTGCATGCGTTTCGGAGGATCACCTAAGCGCGCCCACTACCGACCGGACGTCGCAAATCTACAAAACGCTGCGGTTTTAACCAGGTACCAAGCCTCACTGTCAACTTTGCTTGGCTCAACTATTGACGGTGATCTCGATTCGCAGTGGGCGCATATCAAAGATGCGTTAGTTTCTGCCAGTATCGACACTTGTGGAGTTACCCGTCACCCACCGAAACATTGGATTTCCGCCGACTCCTTGTCGCTGATGGACAAACGCCGCTTGATCCCATCGGATTCGAGACACGTTGAAGAACGCCAATACCTTGGTCGAGAGTTGCGCAGGAGTCTGCAAATGGACCGCGAAGCTTGGTGATGTGAACGTGCTAGGGAGATGGAGCTTGCTAGTCTCTGTGGTAATACCAGGAAACTCTTCCATCTCCTTCGAGTCACCGAAGGTGTTCGATCTGGTATAAGTGAAACAATATGCGAAGAGGATGGCACCTTAATCACCAATCTTCAACGACGGTTGGAGCGATGGGCCGAACAGCGTGTCTTGGGACGTGGAAGCCACTCGCTCGAGGAGCTCATCTCACTGCATCAACTGCGGTGGTTGGGACACGTATTGCGCATGCCTGTCCAGCGTTACCCCCGTCGTGCGTTGTTTGCACTTGCTGGACAGGGCTGGAAGAGACGGTCTGGTGGACAGCCTACAACATGGAGAAGCCGCATGAAAAAGTTGACGAAACAATTGGCCTCGGCCGGTTGTTGTCGACTACCTGGTTGGGGTCCGAGAGACGAGGATACTTGCTGGTTGAAAACCTTGGAAGTTATGGCTCAAGATCGATGTCAATGGCGGACGTGTGCATCAGTGTGTTGCGGTGTCCCTTCCTCCTCCCCCTAAAAACGAACAAACTGAAGAAAAAATTTCAAAAACTGTGAGTGGTAAACTTGACAAAAAAAGCATTTCTTGTTGCTCTTTTCTTATTATTCATATTGTTTTCCTATTCAGCCATGATTCCGATGGCACAATATCTGTACCACAGATTGTGTATAATATATATATATATATAAAATGAAATCTCAAGTTAATATGGTTGATGCTTTTTGTACCTGACAGTAGGATTGCCCACCAGTCTACGCTGAATTACGTGCGTTAGTGTGGATTATTATTCCAAAAGGTAGCTGACCAGAAGGTACTCCAGTGCAACGATTCATACAACTAATCGTAGGAGTGTGAGCGTTACATACAAGAGTTTTTAAAAGGTTGCTGAAGTAGGGACACAGGCAACTGAGTTAGGGAGGGCGTTCCAGGGTTGACAGAATCGAAGCTAGAAGTAAGTTCGTCGACAATCTAGACGATTGTATAGTGAACTCAATTTCAAGCTATTGCTTCTCAGTTTGGTGTTCGGGCTGAGTTTTAGTATGTGGTTGCATACGTGACTGGGATCTTTCAGTAGTTGGTATACTGAGTTCCCCACTTAGCCGCCTGTACCTTCTACTGAACACTCCGAGAAGTGCCTGAGCGACAAGAGTATTAAGTAACATGATAGAGGTTTGTGCTCTCGTGCCACTGTTACAGCCTTATTGAACCTTAAACGGATGCAGCGGCTTGTGTACTTATGCCTTCCTTTAAGTTGCACTGCCTGATGCACCTTGGTGCCTCGAGAACTATACTCACCAGTTTGGCCAACGATTATGAGCCAGACACGCCCAGTCCGTTGACCTTCTAACTTGGGGAGTAGAACTAGAGTTGCACTCATTTCAGGGTTTATGATGAACTAATGATACTCTTACCCACAATCAGGAGTGCCCACAGCTGTTGTCTCCTATTCCTATCCTTTTTCAGCTTGGCACCGGAAACCAGCATTGTGAAATATTGATTGAATTGGTGTATGTGGAGGAGACTGTCCAACTGTTTGACGATCGCGGGGCAGCACATTCTGCTCTAGATCTACACCCCGGGAGGTCCTATCCTTCGGTATGTTTTACACCTTCAAATTACGAGGAATCAGTGCATACCCACCAGTAAATGGATAGGAGCTGTTTCAGCAATGACAGATGTGAGACAGTTAAGGTTATTACATGTAATGAGAAAGTTGTAACTGATCTCAAGCACATTCGAGATTGCTGGTGTCAGTAAGTTAGTATCTTGGCTTTGATGGCCCCCTCGTTCCAGCAGGTTAAAACACCTGCAAGTCATTCGCTATCCTCACATGTGGAGCATTGTCGGCCTCCGTTGGCGCAATCACGTCCACAGTAGCGAGGTGTGCAGTCGAGATCTAGGCGGCAGTGAACACTCCAGGTTAGAATAAGCTAGGTTTATTAGGGCATTCGATAAAGATGTTCACCCGATGCTTACTGAACAGGTCTTTATTTCGTTTATCCAACCAGAGGACTGCGTTAAGCCTAATGAGCAACTCTTAAACGGGCGGCGGAAAATAAATTTACACAGCAATGGCATGGATAGTATTGATCCGGATGTGACTAGTGGTAGGGGCTGTTGTCATGTTCGCTGTCATACCCTAGCCGAAGAAGCCATTCTAACCCTGAATGATTGTGAGTGCAATGCGCACTGCCCCTATCGTGACTCGTTTTACTCTGACTCCATGTCGATCCAACTGAGTTTATGGGACGCGAGCCACTCTTACTAGTGCCTGAATTTGTAAAATCCCATAACCCTTTTTGGAAGAATCCCAAATACCCTCTGCTGTGGTACCTATATTTCGCTCAACGATCCCCTGGTTTTGCTTCCCTCTACCATTAACACAACCTTATTCTTTGTCAAGAACCAAACTTGGTATTTGCTGTATCTCAGTGCAGCTTAGATGTTCTGATGTTAAAGTACTTACGTGTTCATTTTGCTCTTGGAGTATGTGGCTGACCTGTATTCAATCGCACACATTGATCTACTTCACTGACTTCAGAACAAACTTCACAATCGTTCCTCAACTGTTGATCGTTTTTCCGAGCTTGGTTAAGAGATCGCATAAGTTTCACCACCATACGAGGTGGCATCTTCAGTGCAGTTATAGGCAGTGTATAATGCTGCTTATGGAATTGTCAGTCCGTCATCCACGGGCAGGTGACTTTTGAA